AACAAAATGAGGATAATTTTATATATTAGAGAAAGTTATTATTAGTAATTAGATAGCAGATGGAACGTTGATAATTTTTGGTAAAAACCCTCATTATTTGTTTAGAAGAGCTTAATTTTTTGTTTCGTCTTTTAAATCTATGACATAAATCACAGCCAGTCCGAAGGTACCGCAAGCACATAACGCATAAGCACATTCTCTCCATTCTACCATCATAAATAACGTTGCTACGCTGTATATCTTTGTATAATCGTATTTACTACATAGATTGAACGGCGAAGGGCGCTCAATTTCAATATTGATAAATTTGGTTTGATTGCAAGTATCTACTGGATACTCCTTCGAATACATACAAACAGTATTTTGATTGCAGAGGAATAGATGTACGCAAGAGGTGTTAACTAAGCTAATTTTCGCCATTGTTATTGTATATTAGCTAAGATACTAGTTCGTTCAACATGACGTAAAGGGAAATGGGGTGAAACGCTATGACCGGTTCGTTCGTTGGCCATTGTGGGGCGCCTACACTGCACCGACGGCGGACGACAGGAAGTCTTTTTTTGCTGTTGATGACCTATTTGGCTCACTGCTTTAGGGAACGTGAGCGGGTAGTCGGAAGCTCAGCTTAAAAACAATGCTGAACTTTATGCTAATTAGCGCAGATGAATGCACCTATTTTCACTAGATATTCCGTCTGCGGTTTCGGTAAACAGTGGCTAGATAAAGGAAGTGCCGCTCGACATAAAGCGCATATAAACCGACTTTGTTGCATCCTCATACGTTGACACAATTTTAATATTAAAATGCAGTGACCTGAATGAGCGAAATTTAAATGTATCATAAATAACTTACCATCAATTTCAGTTATTCAGTTCAGTAATTTTAATCCATTTATTATTTACTATCACTACAAAATGATTCCTAAATAGTAGGTACTAAATTACCTTATTCTCTATTATTAATTGCCTTGTTATATTATAAAAAAATTACTATATTTAGTAGTATATGTTTCAATATTTTAAATCATTTTATTATATAATGCAATATAATGAACGTTTTTACGGTAGCCGCACCAGTAAAGCAGGTGGGTTATTTCCATTGTATGGATACTTTGTTAACTAGCTCATTCGCTTTTCGTTTAGGCAAATACATTCCTTACCTTCGTTACAACGGGTCAATATTAAAAAAAAAAGCTGAGGTGTCGTGTACCGTCGATAGCTCAGTTGGCAGAGCGGAGGACTGTAGAGCGCTCAAGCAGTTATCCTTAGGTCGCTGGTTCAAATCCGGCTCGACGGACGATATTTTTTAGATATAAACAGAAACTAATGATATTTAGCTAAAGGGAGCAACAAGCAAAAATTTGATCACTGTTTTTCTGCTCCAAAAAGAATATGAAGTGATTTCTGAAGACGTTCAAAAATCTAGTAAATAGTTATGAGGTCCTATGTGATAAGAGAAAAACGACTTAGCTTATAAATTATATGTAGCCTATAGGACATGGCCGTATGTCGTAAAGCTTATATTCAAACGGAGATTTCAATTGCCAACAAACACTAAAAATTGCGTTTTTTAAAACGCTTAGTTTCGTTAAAGGTCGGCTGTTGCGCTAATACTAAATATGTATCTGTTAGTTAGTTACCTACCTTTCATTAAATTCAACTGCATCATGTCCCCCGCAAGCTTCTCCTTATTTGGTATATACCCACCCAGATAAATTTTTGACCTAACACTGTAATCTCTGTGCGCACATTGGTGAAGATGCAATAAAGCTAGTTTAAACATACACTGATATACTGACATTGAGGATATTCGTACATGTTAAATCAGTTTACTGATGACTGGGAGATAATTTACAAACGTATGTTAACACTGAAAAAGAACACGTATAAATGAAAAACAATGTTCTTGCCAGGGCTCGAACCTGGGACCTTCCGCGTGTTAGGCGGATGTGATAACCACTACACCACAAGAACCACGACGAACCACCGCATTATTATCGTCATAAACAGGACCTAATGTGCCCTAATGCAATGCCGCCTGTTCCGCGTCTAAGTTTTTTTTCTTAGTCAACAATAATAGATATGGTTCAACGATCCGGCGATTCATGCGCTATAGTCATCCATCAAAGAACACGTGTTGCTTGAGCTATCTCGTTATGCTAGACAGTAATTGGCGTTACGGCTCAAAAAAGGCCGAACGGCAGCTTTCGAAACTATAATTTGTTACGCAAACGGAAGCTTTGTTTCTCATGTAGCGGCTGATGTTCTAAGTAAAGACGTAGCTTTGCTTCAAAATTGAGTTATTAGTGAATTTGTTATTGGAAATTCGTGACGGAGCGGCAAAAAAAATTTTTTTGACAGTTTTGGAAATGTAATTTTACATTCTGTTTAAATAATAAGAGAGTAAAGTGTAAATGTACGCGTAGAAAAAGTTGAGACTGTCAGGTGACTTTTGTCACACTCGGTACATCTACTCTACTTGGGTCACATTTAGCTCCCATACTTGTTTCAAAAATTAAATGTTCAGTTATTATATTCATACGCTAATAAATTTACTCATTCAACTTATGTAATGAAACATTAATCATATATTGTAAAACGCTTTTCTTAAATAATTGCTTCTTCTTAAATAAATAATAATAAAAAATATATTTTCTGTAGATGTATTCGGCGCACGGTTACCATTACTACATTGTTCCTCGTCCTCTTGACGAAGGAATTACGCGGCGACAAATTGCAGCTTCAGCTAGAGCAGGTAACTTGGCTACAATCGTAGTAGCAGGTAACAGGAGAGCGCCGTTATATGAGAGTTTTTTCGGAGCTGCTTTGATTCTTGTCTCGTAGACACTGTCGTTACTATAACAATATTTTGTTGCACTTGGTCTGCTCTCCCCCCAACGCTGCATCACCCTTCATCCTCGTTCACATACAATACGACTACCGTCGCCTCATTATATTTCGACGTCTTTCGCATTTCTGTTTTCTTCAATTTTTCGTAAGTCTACTACCACTGCTCTTGGATCGATGCGGGTCATCTTTTCATTCTCTGCAACGCAGTCGGTGAAGGACTACTGGACGATTGCGCCGGCACCGGGGCTCGCTGCTAGCGTTGAGAACATTTTTCCCTATTTTCAATTCGGCCAAACTCGGTACCTACGTTTCCTAGATCGAGCAGGCCTGATCGAGCATTTGTATCTAGTATAGTGATACCTTATCTGACGTACTACGGTTGGTCGGTCCATCTACCTGACAGCTAAAGAAATTGGAATATGTTTGAAGTAGGGGTACGCGGCACTGCGGCATTATGTAGTGGTAGCGCATCGGACGACGTGTACGTTTTTGACACTTTTTTGCAATATGAAGTACACGGCGAGTCCAAACTTTAAGTCTATAACTATCTTTCTGATTTTTCATGCTGTAAGTAAAACTCCTTAACTTATATTAAATAATCAATCAAGACTAAACTACTACAATACTAGAATCTAAACATTACGCTTGTATAAGTTACACATACGGATCTGCCAAAGTTTCACATGTAAAATAGAAAGTGATTATTACTTTAGCGTTACCGTTTCATTGTTTAGTCGTGGTATTTCAATGAAAAATTATATTAATGTAATTTTTTTTAACACATTAATTTTGTTAACTCGAATTTCCTTTACCGAACTTCCATTAACTTTGTACACGACGCTTTTATCTAAAATGATATAAAAATCTACTAAGCACAGTTACATATTCTGATGATGTTTTATCCATTTTTGTGAGCGTTAACGAAAAACGAACGCTAACTTCCCCAGTGGTTCGTTTTGTGCGTAGAACTTGAACGCGATCCAACGGCAGCCAATGACGTGGATCTACTATATAAAGCTAAAAGAACAAATTGTTTAACCATATATCTTTTATTTGTCGTGGTTTCGTCTTGGGTCGTTTCGGTTCGGGCACCAGCACCTCTTACAGCTGCTTCATTTGCAAAATGGAGCTTCTCCAATGATCCGTAGCATCTGCAATCCCCAGCGACCACCCAGCCTTCACCCCCCGACACATCAGAGTGATCTCTTTCAGTTTTTTTCGCTGCCGATCTACGAACCCCTGTGCAACTGCAATGCTGCAGCCGACTGCCATCTGAGCCGATGAAATATCGACTGCTGATCAGTTGCCGTATGACGATCATATCGATTGATAGATTCGACGAAGCTTTCCCTTAACTAGCCTTGTGACAATTTGCCCAAAGACAATGTAGATAACGAGATTGAATTTTCACTTTGTTAAAATTATGTTAAATACATTAGAATGTTGACAGAGGTTATAAACAAATTGCGATCGGTGCGTACACAAAATGATACAGAGTAGAGAATGAAACAGTATATTGACTCCTCTAAACGAGAAGTGTGGGTGGGTTCGGAATAGGGCGGTTAGGCGGTCGATGCAACGTCATATAACAATATGAATATTGTAGGTCAGAGCTTTCAGAACCTGTTCCACTGAGCTAATGTAATCTTGTTGACCAACTGTAGTTGTTTATTAATATATTACGTACTGAAGATTTTGCATCTGGCATGTCCGAAAAGAAAAGTGGGCTTTTGTTGCTGGGCGCTGTGAACCTAGCTAAAATTTCTATAAGTATCTGATATGATCATAATAAGGTTACTATTGATTAATTTTCCGTTTCGTTTTCGGACACTTCGCTAGAAGTGTTATCGTATAGGAACCTGATTGCTTTCAACGTTACAGAGAGCAGAAAAAACATTTCAAACACGTTATTTGTTATGCTGACATTGTTATTGGGGAACGCTTTCTAGAGTTTGAAAGCAATTTTAATAAAAACTTGAGGGAAAAATGCTTTTATTATTAACCGCCAATCGCAAACGTAACCTGTACATTGGAACGCTATATTACAATCCCAGTAAACACTGCAGGATCACTGAAAGTTGCATCATTCTACGGCTTTTCGCGTACGCGTCGGTTATCAGCTTTGTTTGCTTGGAAATATGATGCCAATTATCGTGATATTTTTGTCAAGCTGGGCCTTCTATCTACGGCTGGGTTTGGCTGTCAAGCAGATGTTCAAACTTAGACTACCCCCTGTCGAGTCGTGACCCATTAAACCTCACGATGAGGTTTGGATAAAATTCAGCTCAGCAGAAATGCCGTGTTCTCGTTGCCCCTGTAATTTTCAAACTACTGGTAACGCTTACAGCTGATGTGTTATCGAATTCCGCTGAGCAGTTCAGCTGTTGTTCCTCAATAAAACTGATCGAACGTGGCGGTAAGCGTACAATTTTCTGGAGATCAGATAAACAAGCGGTAAATACGTACACCTGAGGATGCTCTGTTACATCTACTATTGAGCCTTCATAATAGTTCGAATGCACACAACTTTGGCCTTTCCTTTGTGCGCCTAACGTGTGTAGCGCCTTAATACCGATACAGGCAAGTATCTACATTGCGATGTAAAATTTCATGTATGTAGTACGCTAGAATTTATTTCATTGATTTTGTTTTGTTACGAGTAGTTTCCATATCGAGAAAAAAGACGTTAGATAGATTATCCCATTGCAAACTGTTGCAATATGCACACAGAAGTTGTTTGTTTAAGTCTCTCGTCTGTATATTCTCGAAGTTACACTGGAGACGTTTTGGTTATGTTTAACGATAACCAGTACTGTTTGGCAGAAATGCCGAAAACAACAAGATAGGTGCCTTTCCCTGTTGCGGAAGCTTCTAGCGTAGAGGTAGGAGTAGCTTGATCGTATTGCGCCTGTCAACGGGAATTGTGCTTATGGGCCGGCTGTCTGTTAGGACAAAACGTTAACATTTTTTGACGCGGTATAGCTAGCTTGTCGTGCTTCCTTCAAGGCCATTATCGCTTCTGCTACCGGAATCAGAGATAGGAATGAGAACAGGTATTCTCAAGAAATCTGTATGCGCTCTTACACAAAGGGCAGGCGGTGAGACGGGCGTCTGTACGCGTATGCGTATTTGTGTTGTTGAATTCATTCACTTAGGCCAAAAGCTATCATTCCTGCTCGATATGGATCAAAAACTAACACAGCACTCTTCGCACTCGGACGTTTTCCTTCCGAGGAAAACTGCAAAACGCTTTGGATTAGATTTAATCAAGCGACTATGGACGTTTCTATCTCTCCCCCTTGCTTACACAGCTTGCGAATAAGTTAACACAACCTGTAATTGCACGCTGCGTTATCTAGTTGACCGTGTACCGTTATCTTGTATACCTTTGCTGTCATTATCTTCAAGCTCGTTTTTTAGAGCGGGGGTGCGAGATGCATACATTTTCTCAGGCATGCAGATACCTAGTTGGGTCGGCTGTCACGCCTAACATGGGGGGTGCACGATTTTCTGTTTGAGGCGGCGGCAAGAGTAACGCTTGTGCTGCCGACTGACCGCGGCGGAAAGGGGGAAAATAAAAGAGGCGGTAGGGGCCCAAGCATACGAAGAACAAAAGCGACAGAGCGGACAGGACGAAGCGTTGAGCGGCGGTAGTTAAATGTGTGGCTATGTACAAACATATATGACAGTGTGTGTGCTACGATCTGAGCAATTCATGCAGTGGTAGCAGGCGATATACTTTAGCTGGCCGCGCGTCTAGCGAGACAAGGAGATAGTGCGCGCACAGCGTTTATCTACGTCGCTTCTGTTAGAGCTATCGGTGCTTATAGGGCGATTAGTGGCCTCCTGCAGTGGTGATCGCGTTTGTAACGTATGCCGTAGGTTACTTTATCTAGGACGACGGGACAGCTTCATAATCGGTTCAAGATCACGTGAAAAACTATACTAAAGCGTGGACTAAAAGTGGACATAGAAATGATCTTAAGAGAATTTTAGTGCTTTGCTCATCGTGACGTCGTTGTTACCTTGCCGTTAAGAGCAAAATTTATCTGGGACCAACAAACAAACAAACAAAAATATTCAACTCTTGTAAATTTTTCGAACGCGTATCGCTATTATATGGTTGCGTAATCAATGATCCGGTTAATCCTATATGATGCGTTCACATTATGAATACGCAGAGACAACGATACAGCTTAACTCTTAATTTAAATCTTCGATGCAAGTCTAAAATACCTATTTTGATGGTTCATAGAGTACGATCTGTTCGTATTGTTCTCTCTATTGTGCTTCAGGTTTTCATACAAGTTGTGAGCTGAGCTAGACTTGTTCTATACAAAGTTGTTTGTCATGAGTGACATGACCCTTCATGGTAAGACTAGATTATACTGTATAATCCAGTTTTATAAATCTCTGTATTATGTTTATTTCGAAATATATAGGTGAAAGTGTACTGGCCGTCCTATGCTATCGGCCAACAAGGAAGTCCTTCAGTATGAGATTTACGCTGTCCCAAATCCTACAAACTTCAACGATTGTTCTCCTGCTGGTGCCTGTGATGTTGGCCTGCGTTGATGCTTGCCAATCCTATTATGTGAGTACCTACGAAATATATGTTGCGCTCACGCTAACCATATTAGCAAAATCACGTGTGAAACACTTCAGCGCAAACGAGGTCGAGATCAAATTCTTTTTTCTCAGTTATGAGGTATACACATTTTTTCTCTATCTCTATTATGGTTCGAAAATTTCTCCGGCAGATTTGCAACAGCAATAGTGGGTTAGAAAAAAGTAGGGCATAAACAAGTCTGAGGCTTTTTGTGCAAAGCGGCCAAAGTGTAAGTAAGCCATTGCCACAGAAACAACCGAAAAGACAAACCAAACTCACTAAAAATTCTGTTAAAAGCAAGTAACCATTTTAGCACAAACAAATCCGTTATATTATTTATTTTTCACACAATTCTATTCTTTAGTCAAGTTTAGCAAAAAAGAAGCTAGGCCTTTTTGAACCTTTGGTACGTTCTCAGGTGAGTATAAGACTCATTCACTTGCTATTATTCAAAACGTGATTACTTTATTTTCGCTTTTAGATATAGCAGAAGGCCAAATCACTCACAAAATTACTGGCACAGTGAGACCGGGTTGTTTTTTATGGGTAGACGTCAAGAGCTTAATGAGAATGAACGATAAAGCCGCTAAGGCGCAGCATATAAAAATCGTCACGCATACATTGACGAATCTGCATAGACAGCACTCACGGAGTGTCACTGCCGATTTACTCGGCAGGTGCTTGATAATCGTTTCTGATTTTTTACATCATTGACAGCTAAGTAGCACTAAATCAGACAAAAATAACCCTTGCCAAATCTAAAGAGTCAGCCAAGAACGCGTACGATACCAGCAGCAGCAGCAGTAACAGCAACAGCAGCAGCTTTTCGTAACAAGTTGAAACACTCTTGGTCGAGCGACTTGCTTTATCGAGTTAAGTTCAAGTTACAACTCCTAATTAGCTATCGTTGTTTTTTTCTACAAGAAGAAACAAAATACGGTTTATTTTGTTTTGATCCGATTACTTCGATCCGGTACAGAACTGTTTTGCTACGCTTACATGCATCCGTCTATATGCATCCAGAGAGATCGTCACTTCCCCCGTCAGACTAGTTAGGGACTTATGGTCTTCATTTCGCTCATGTAAATCGTAAGCTTGTATGAGATTCTCCGTGTTGGTGTGCCGGAAGAAGCGTAATAATATTTTATCTGCGTTTTAACCTTACGGATGTGAATTTTTTTACATTGTGACTTATTCAGCAAGCTTGTGGACGTCGAAGGCAATGCTGCTCCGGACTAAACTGTTCCCGAGACCCCGGAGCACGACCAGATGAAACGTACTGCAAGGTAAGTTGTACTAGACGTAGATCAATGTCCCCGTATTAGATTAGGGCGTAGCCCGGTAATTTTAGGAGCATTTTGTGCTCTAGGTTCGAACCCAGCACACGGTTCGTTTCGCGCTGGGAGCCAGCCATTTGTCTGATCGAATGTCTAGCGATGATACCGGACGTAAGCCTCGAAACGGAGAGAGACATATGCGAAGGTACATCCACGACGCGCGATACTCTATACAACGCTGTAATTTTTCAGCTTAGTATTTTCGTTACATGACTAATTAAAACTATTATCTTTCTTCGAGAGAAAAAGCTTAGGTACATAGTCAGTTTTTCTCAGTCAGTTATATCTGATTTTTCAGCAAACATTGACGCTTGCAATACAAATACCGTGAAAAGGAGCTTCTTTTCTGCGGCGACGTCTGACTACTGACCTTTGTCAAGGCATACGCATTTTTGTGTTTGGTTGTTACACCTATTATATAGAGAAAGACGCCCAATACTCAGATAAGGACAAATTTTTTTTCAATATTTATATCAATTGTGTAGCAACGTGTTGTGGGTAAGACTTGAGCCCCACCAGCCTCGTTCTTTGTTAGCGTCTCGAACGACAAGGTGACCGTATCAACTTCAACTAAATTCTCTTTACTATTAACCAATTATCTATTTTCACCGCAGTGCATTGAGGCAGCGGGAAGTTACCTGCGATCTTTACGATCAGTTAATTTATCAAGAGAACTTACCTCAGCCAAGTAGGATGAAATAGTTTTCCCTTTTTCAGGAAGGCACAAACAGTCACAATCGACGCAATACGATAAGTGACGTTCAGTATGAACCATATACTTGGTGGACCCGAGACGGAAATCATCGCAGTTCGCTAGGGTCTGTCGCTCGAAAAATCGCACCTCTTCCAACAGCACTCTCTCATGCTTACCCGAATCAGCCACAAGAGCAATATTATTACTAGGATATTCTAGTGTTTTCCACTACGAATAGAACGCATCTAAAGAAAATATATCTTCTAATAAACTTATTATCCAGCGGATAATATCGCTAGCCTTCTATCACTAATTTACTTCTAGAGCAAAATTAGATAGCACTGCATGATAGTCGGTTTTAGCTGAAGTATAGTCATTGGGTTTTTGACAAACTGAATAAATTTATCATTTTAACAAAATTTTTATAGTATGGTAATAGATCGGTTAGTTGCCTGTCTGAGCTGATCCTTCAATTAGGCATTAGGTTAAAGGCGAGACATTACGTAGATATGAACGTCATGGATGCATGTACGGTTTTGTGATAGGATTGCTATTCTTACTACTGTCATTATACATATAGTTTGCAAAGTTTGAAAGGATGGAAGAGTGCGTACTAGGTCTTTGTCTAGCCCCCTTGTCATGTCAGAAATGCACAGATGGGTTGATCTGAAAGTGCGTCAAATGGCTAGCACTCTCGACTGGTTCTACTAAGTCTGCTGACATTTACGACCAATAGTAGAAAACAGACGCGCTAGCCGATTGCTTCAGATGGAAGAAGGCAATAGTGATTCGTAACATGGCTGCGTAAAATGTAGGTAGCGAACAACGACAAAATCATGAGTATAAATGATTAATTCGTACGGCTTATGTTTCCTCGCCGAGAACAAAATGCTGTTATTATGTAATCAGCCATATGTATGTATATCTCTATCTATGGCTTTTCGAAATAGATCGATACTGGGATATGCTTGCCTGCCAGCTCAATGATGGCACGGATTTAGGCTGAAGGAATGAGCGGATTGAAGCCAGCCCGCGATATTCCTTTGCTCAATTTAGGAATTAATTACGGCACGGCAGCGACATCTGGTGTCACCAAGTGGGCAGACTGGGTACTTTCAATTGTCATAGCAAAAGGTCTGTGAATCTTTTGAGGAGCATCAGATAGCAAACTGCATTCATTTTTTGTTTCATTGAGTATCTCATAGTAGCAGATGCTCCTTGGGTCTGCTGCGAGTGCTTCCGTCACTTTACGTCCGAACCCACTCGCCACCGCCATTGAACTCAGTTTCATTCCAAAGCTACGCCAATCTCTCGCCTGGTCATAGTCGGGCTGGCGGTAGAGAGTGGACCGGGTTTTGTAAATGGCAACGATATACTCGCAGACAGATTTCTTTGTGAATTATAGTTCTTCATTGTTTGCACACCCGTCTTCTACTAGCCTAGGGTCAGTTCACAGAAAACCCATGCTTACAAATTTTCAGTATTTAATTAATGGTGATGTAACACGTCTTCTGAAATGACCGTTTTGGCCCACAAACTTCAAGCCGTGCTTTGGCGAAAAGTTCGATTGCGGCCATGTGCAAAAATGCTGAAATTACTATTCGAACATATTGTTACTGGCCATAGAGATGTCTGAAACCATCCAGTTTGATATGTATGCTCAATAAATACTCGGGCTTCTTTTTAATTCCCCTTTATACCTTTTTTTTTGCTTAATCATAATTATTTTAAAATCTATTTACCGTAAAATTTCTGTTATCGTCGCATTCAACAATATTTTTCATAGTTAACAAATATGTATCAATTTCCTATTAATTGATATTTTAATATAGGCGAAAAAATGTGCTTCAAGGATGTACTGGCCGTTATTTACACGCTAACCAATCATCCTGTAATGATTTTCGTGTAATTTTGTAAAAACCATTTACTTTTTTAGTTTTCAAGATACTTAATACATTTATAGATTTTGAAATATATAGTTAGCAGAAATCGTCTTACTATGGCTATTTGGCGTTTTTTCAAAAGCGGTTATATGAAACAAAGGTTTATTAAAGATAGAGGGAAAATAATTCCGACAAATCCATATGTCTGTCGATTGGTGACGAAATACACATGATATTGCTATCATTCTTTGATTGAGCATGGAAGAACTATTAAATACGGTCACATTTAAAACTTCACAGTATTTAGACGGCGATTAATTGTGGTCAAGCATGTGATATTCTTCGCTAAAAAATTAAAAAGTTGCTTGGATGGGAGATGTTTCAAAGTACGCTTTAAAAAAAGTTACTAATCAATGTACTGACACTTAGAAAATCTAAATGCGCCTGCAGATCGCGCACAAAATACTTTTTTGTGTACTTTTCCTTTTTCGGCATAAATGAAAAAAAAAGCCAAGATGGATAGGTGTCACAGTGACATTGGGTAGACTTCCGCTAGAGACTTCGTGAGATGCCGAGTCAATAAATACTCTTAGTTAGTATATGGACTTCTTTAGTGTGCACTCATCTTTGGGTGACAAAGGTGTTAGTTGAATAGCTTCCATTGTTCAAACTATTTTAAAATTTTACAGTCTCAAATTAGTGCAGTGAATTATGAATTTTGAATTTTAGCGGGTAAGACTACCACAACACCATGAACTGCTGCTAAGTTTTTAATAGCCGTGCCATTGCGCGGTGATACTTGGGTACGCGCTGCAGAATTGTACATTTTTTCGTACGACGGAGATTTATTAGGGCTCGAATGTGGGATTTAACTATCCATACACAGACAGATAAAACCGTACCCTGATGGTTGGTTGTAGGGCGCAATAATATTTACTAAACCGCTATCCTCCTTGTTGCTTCGTTTCGGTCTTCTCGTCTTCGGGACACATTACTCCGAATAACGATTCCAATATCTAAAATCTCTTCATCTACTATACATAGTGCTTAGTGCAGAATTTATGTCGATCTCGAGGCTTAAACCAATGCCTACCAACTGCAATGAACATTGCTTACCTGCCCACACAAGATGGACTTTTTAATTCTAGGTAGAAAAAAGCATTATCGAGTGCGGGGACTGTATAGCACGAAATAATAAAAAATTACGTCTTGAAATAAATATAAGTTAAAACGGGTGTCTTTGCTTGGTATAGATACATTGATTAAACAAGTGAGGTCAATGATCTTTTGCTATAATTTGCTCGAAGCTTTTTATGTTCCGTCTTTCATCTTTGCTTATGTAATACCGACCACCGATTTACTTCTTTAGTAAACGAAGGTAACTTAGCAAGAACTGAAGCCAGCGGAATGGAGGCGCTGAAGTCATTCAGTATACGGACTTTTTTTGGGGCACGTGGTTGCTTAGATTTGAATCCAGCCGGGCGTAGTCACACTTCATTTTATCCTGGAAAGTGATGCCTAACAACATAGGCACCAGGCATAAAATTTGACTTGACGTTTATTAAAACGCATATCTAACACTGGACGCTCAATGCCGGCTGGAGTTGCAGCAGTTTGATATGATCTTGCCTTGTTAACAATGGGTAGCAACGAGTCGGTTTAGAGAATGAAAGAAAAAAAATCTCTTCTTGGTCATTGAGTAGTATTACATTGTAGCGTACAAAATATTATCGCGCTGCTGAGATTTTCTGCTTTGCTATTACGAAACAAAGAAGTACCACATATTAAAATAGTTCTTTTTTTATGACTACTTATCGTCAACGTAATCGGCATGATATACATCAATGTAAAACACGAAAAAAAAAGTAACTACCAATATTTTATAACATAGTGTTTAACCCGTCTTCTGTAAATATATCCGGATGTATGCACACACGATCTGTAATGACTTGAAATTTTTGGATGAAAGTACATCTTTGTGATACATGCGAATGTAAAATTGGACTTCTGTTGAAGAAATTCATGATTAACAACTCGAGCCTCATCACTACGTATGCTTTATCACGTTTTTATTAAACGTCTTATTAAACAGTCCAAATACCGGCTTTTGTACGAACTCATTGATTTAATCACTCTTTGAACAAATAATCCACAAATTAACAGACGGCAGGTGGAGACATCGCGGAAATTTATGAACATCTTAGTTAAAGGACTGTCTTTTAGTTCCTACAACCTTGGCCCATTTGTAAGGTAGCTGATGTTTTCAGGTGAAAGAAGGCTTCTATTCGTCGACCCATTCACTGACTTCAAACTCTGTTCGGAGGTATTTGTCTTCCTGGCTATGTTGCATTGACCAAAAGAAGTGATAATCGATGTCCGGACTGTACACCATGTGGGGTTGGGTTTCCTACTGGAAGTCCGTTAACACCTGCTAGGTCATCAGAGTAAAATGCAATGTATAGTTTACATGCAGCAAAATAGCCGTTGTATAGGGTTCCACCTAAGCCTTTTTCTGCCCATTCGATGGCTTAGATGGGTGAGCTGATTTCCGTAACGGCCTCCAGTAAATCTTTCCTGGAATTTGAATAGTTTATAGTACAATGCTTCTTTATCATTCCGTTATACGTGGCGATGCAACTATTGACCGTGAATACTTTTTCGTGACGTCCAACGGGAGAGGTATAGCCATTCCGGTCTGCATTTGGGGTGTCGTAAGTGACTTGTATTTCGTGGTCGGTAACGATTCTATATAGAAACAATTTTCTATTCTATCGTGCAAGCAACGAAGCGCATATTAGTCAAGTTACTGAGTTAATTTTCTCTCAAAGTTCACCCAGCTTTCCTCCTTTTGGATCTTCCCTGGTGCGTGCAAATGATTGTCAACAGCCGCTTGAGTCGCTCTTAAGCGTGCAGAATGCTCTTGCGCCGCATTTGCTTAAGGAGTGCACGCTTCTTGTGGCCACCTAGAGCGTGGTTTGTCGTTAAAATTAAAATATCTAATTAATAATAACAACAATGATAGGTAATGCGATTGATCTTGAGTCTTTGATAACAAAAAGAGACTTAAGTCAAAATATTGCATTCGATTTGTATGATTTGCCTGCTTACCTAAAATAATTCCGTTATAGACATCATCCTGTAGACATCTTGAAAGCCGACGGGTGCCGTGTCTGTTGGAAGTATCTATTGTTTCAGGTTTGAAACCATCGAACACGGTAACGCTACAATTGGTCGAACTGATTAAGTATTACGAAGCGAACTTTCAGCCTGTATCAGCCTTAATCACTCGACAAGTAAGTTACTCCTATCCGAATATGGGTAAAAGAGGCTCGAAACACTTAGCAAACAAGTAAAAAACATAACCTCACTTCCATTATATATCCAATTGCAATG